CAGTGGAGTGAGAGGATTGCTCAGCTCATTTTACACCTTTGTGGAAGCAGGACTTTCTTGGTGACCTACCACTTGTGACCAACAGCACTTGTGACCTACTCTCCAACTTGCATCTGGAGATTAATTAATTCTGCCTCTTACAGTATTTGACTCAGTACTTTAACCTGTAAGATTTAATGGGATTATTTCCAACTTTTTGTTCAACTTGTTATGCTCATTTTGAATTCTGACGTTTTACTGTGCAAATTAGCTACCCAGCCATGCATTCCAACTTGCATGCAGTGTCAGGACTCTACCATCAGAGTAATTAGTTAATCAGTTAGAAAGCACCAGGCCTGGGACCTTATCACTGCCCAGTGGTTCCCATCTCATAACAGGTGTGGTGTACTAGTGCTTCATCAGCTGTACTCTGTAGAAATAGAGTTTAAATCTTACTTTCCCTCCTTTTTTGCTAACTTTGGGAACCTTCAACACCACAGCTTATTGAATTCTAGAGTTATATTTAGAAGACGTAGAAGCCATAAATATGAACTGCTTTCTAAATCCGGTACAGCAGTAGATTTTGGACTTTCAGAAAAAAATCCTTCACCAGACACGGCCAGACAAATATTTTCAACCACAGCCTAAAGCTGAAAGCACTCATGAATTCTAATAGCAAGGCAGCACACACTCCAGCGGGGTTCTAATTGACAAAGAGGTAGAAAACTGAAACAAGAAGGCTAGCGTGTCCTTTGGGGAGCTGGCATCCAGCACGGGCCCAGCAGTGCTTCAGGCTCCAGGCCAAATGAAAAGTGTGCCCAGCAGCGTTGCTGCCACATCAGAGCTACAAGCAGGCATCCTTGGCTGGGCTGTCAGGGGCCTATTGGACCCCCTACCACTGGCAGCACAATTATATATGTGTGTGTATTTTTCAGCAAGCAAGATTCTCAGCTTTCATCATTTTCAAAGGGATCCATGAATCGTAGAGGACTAAGAAGCTCTGTTTGTTAGACAGACAATAATCCAAACCTCCAAAACCAATAAAATAGATGGTTGAGAATTGATACAACAAAAAAATTCAAAGGAAACAGAATTAACATTTATCGAATGCTAATTGCATGCCAGAGACTCTTGGAGACATCACCTAATCCTCACAGTGACCTTTAAGGTAGACAGAGGAGATACTCAAACCCAGGTCTTGCTCTAAAACTACATGTTCCCACTACACCACTTGCCTCTGTAAAGAATGAAAATGACCATTCAATTTACCATTGAAGATAAATCAAAAATAAAGATAAGCAAGCTAAAACAGGGAAATATTATTTGATATTTAAAATGTTGTTTATATATATTATATATATATATATATATTTTTTTAGGACTCTGCACTTCCACTGCAGGGGGCGCTGGTTCCATCCTTGGTCAGGGAACTAAGATCCACATGCTTCGCGGCCAAAAATAAAGTAAAAAGAAACGAGTGAAATGAACTTTTCTGTAATAAGCCAGTATATCTGTAATGTTACTCCAACATGTAAATAACATAGAATGTTATTAATGAGATACTACATTTTTTTTTTTTTTTTTTTTTTAATCAAAAGCTTATCTAGTGAATAGGTCCGGTGATTTAGACCAGACTTGGGTCCCAAGCATGTGGGATGGCCCAGGGTGCAGCGTCAAGAAGGAGTGGTTCTTCTTGAGCGGAAGCTTTTCAAGAAACTGAAGAGGTTTTAAATGAAACAGTTGTGAGGCCCCACTTCACTGATGGGTCACTCATGGAACGTGGTACTAACTAATGACAGTCATTTCACTTATACATATGTATTAAATTAGGTAAATTCTACTCTATTATACTCTGTCTCTGGGCTTAAGTATTAATTATTTTCTTACAAGCCTTCTTAGCACAGTTTAGGAGATATTCCCTCCGCATAACCGAAAGCTTGACTAACACCCTCCCCCCGTCAATGCTGCTTTCTTACAACTGTAAATCCTGAAATCCACATTGGTCATTGTTTTATAGAAAATATTATTTGAGAATAATAATTTAACAAAAATACTCACAAATTTTTGAAGTTTTCGATATTCTTTTTTTCTAGTATATCTGACCTAAAACAACATGATCATCTATTTGGAGTACTCTGGGGAGGCTGAGCAGGATTAATTCCCGTCCCGGTGTTGCAGTGTAAACAGCTTTTTGCCTGTCTTTTGTCATTAATGATCACGCTGTAGATGTAGTCAGTGCATTGTAAGCCAATCTGTCAAGGCAAATAAACAATTCACCTTGTTAAAATTCCCTAAATCTTGCATTAATAAAACGAAAGTAACCCCCCCCCCCCCCCGAACACTCAAGAGATGTCTTCCTCCATGCTGCAGTGATGGATGACATGTCTAAAGATCCTGGAAATTAAGTAGTTCAGGTCATTAAAAGTGTCCCACACTTGTTATTGATTTAATTTATTTTAAAAGATGGGGGTGGAGATAATAATGGTTACCCCCTCCCCTGTTTTTTTTAATCTGAAAACTACCACTTGTTCACATAATTAAAACTATTGCCAGGGTGAACAGCTCTGTATTTGTTACAACATTAAGCTTTATTATTCAAATAGGTATTATCCTCTTAAATAGATATCTACAAGTACAAGCTGATAATCATTGCAACTTGCATTATGGCAAAAAAAAATTCCTTGGAACTTCATTCATATGCATCATGATTCCTAGAACCTTTGATTTTGGACACTGAAATAATGACCTTCTGGGCACCCCCAAAATATTCTCGGATAGATAAAAATTTAGATGAAAGCCAAATGGATTGAAGGAAAGAAACAGAAATAGTAATGGAAGAATGCCCCTGGATAGGGGAGGGGTTTTTTTCTCTCCATTTTATGAATTTTTCATTTTTCTACTTTATAATCAAGAAAAAAGTAAACATTTTAGAAAGATGGAGGGATGGATGCAAAGGCATTTAGAGAGTGCAGATTCTCTGTCACTATGTACTAAGGCAAGTTTAACTTATGTGTGTGTTTACTTGTTTATCACTAATTTTCTCCACCAGCCCACATTCTATTGACCTGTAGTATTCACTGCCATATCCCAGTGCCTAACATAATAGGTGCTCCGTAAATATTTGTTTAATGAATAAGGTATTAACCCAAATATCTTTATTTTCCTCTTTTTTATTTCTTAAACTTCAGTGGGTACAATGGCCATGTAAGGAATAGTAAGAGCCCCAGACAAGGCTGGATCTCCAGATTACCCCTCTCCAGGGACTGAACAGCAGGACAGTTGAGCACTAGTATAGTACAGAGGTCAGTGTGCTAGCACTGGTGATGTCTGTAGTAGCTTATTCCATTTATATGTCCTGAACTGGGTAACAGAATTCCAAAACATGGTGAGAAATGGGGCAGCTCCAGGTGTAAATTATGGCTAAAAACAATACATTATATAGAATTATGTGTATATAAGAAACACACAATTTGACCTTTTTCATGTGTTATGTATCTTTTGCATCACCTTGCATAGCTGTTCCTGATCAGCTGAGTGAATGACATTTCAGCATCAATTCTCATTGGTTTTTTGGGGGTTTTTTTTAACATTTTTATTGGAGTATAATTGCTTTACAATGGTGTGTTAGTTTCTGCTTTATAACAAAGTGAATCAATTATACATACACATATATCCCCATATCTCTTCCCTCTTGTGCCTCCCTCCCTCCCACCCTCCCTATCCCACCCCTCTAGGTGGTCACAAAGCACAGGGCTGATCTCCCTGTGCTATGCGGCTGCTTCCCACTAGCTATCTATTTTACATTTGGTAGTGTATATATGTCCATCAATTCTCATTGTTTTTTTAAACAATATGTACTTACTGGGGGGAAAAAAAGCCATGGTAAATTATAAAAATGACCCTTAAGAATAGTTACATTAATTTTAGAGATTATTGCACAACGTCTGATGCTTTTCCCATGGTCTTTGTAAAAAAAAGGGCAGGGGGAGGGCTTCCCTGGTGGCGCAGTGCTTGAGGGTCCGCCTGCCGATGCAGGAGACGCGGGTTCGTGCCCCGTTTCGGGAAGATCCCACATGCCGCGGAGCGGCTGGGCCCGTGAGCCATGGCCACTGAGCCTGTGCGTCCGGAGCCTGTGCTCCGCAAATGGGAGAGGCCACAACAGTGAGAGGCCCGCATAACGCAAGAAAAAAAAAAAAAAAAAAAAAAGGGCAGGGGGAGCAAATGTATAATCATTGCTCTGGCAGACTCTTTCAAAAATAAATATATATGAAAATGCACTCTTACAGTTTTCTATTAGATTTCTTCTTGAAATTGCATAATTTGGATATCTGAGATCTGACATGGTTATGCCATTACGGCAGCTATTTAGCAGAGCTCCCTAAATGGAAGAACTCTATAGATTTTTTTTTTTCAGCATATACACTGATTTACACTTAGTGGTGAAACTGTTACTGACCCTTTAAGTGGAGCTGTCCAAATAGCAATAAATGTCAGTTGATCCTATTGCTGAAACAGGTGTTAGCTGAAGGATCTTGACTAAATCTTCCAGTTAAAAAAGCCATGTATAGTATTTCCTGAACAGTAGTGGTTTCTTGTAGATAGACACACACACACACACACACAATTTCAGATCACTTTCTCACTAAATAAGGAAAACTTGATGTAACTATCTTAGCAGTATTATTGATGTTCCCAGGTTTTTTAAATACTCATTCTGGATTAGTACCTCCATGAAGGCAGGAACTGTGTCTACCTGGTGCCTGGCTGTCTTGCCCCCCGTCAGCATCTGAAGTATATAGTAGATGCTCCGTTAGTGCTGCTTTGGTGAAAGAATAGATAAAATGGAGCATTTGCTGACACTGAATAACATGTGTGTTGGCCTAAATTCTTGGTGGGTGAAATGGGTAATTTTGCTTTTGGGTAATAATGCTGGTAAGAACTTTGATGGATGGTTATGACTTTTCAAAATAGTTTATTTGATTGATTGCCTAGCAAACTTCACTTTCTAATTGTTTTCTGCTTTCACAGGCTGTCATTTTAGAAAATGAAGAACTTCCCAAACTGTTTCTTGATTTCCTAAATGTGCGACATTTGCCCTCTCTACCAAAGGCAGAGAGCTGTGGGTAAGAGTTGTTTACCTATTGGACATGTATCTTAAGTTACTTTTCAATTACTTATTGGCCTAATAGATAACACAGGTGGTGCGGAGGGCCAACCTGGCCACACCCATTCTTTTGGCTTGGGACAGCACTCGCTCGCCCCCTGCTTGTAGTCAAAGGAATTGCTCCTGAGTCTTGTGGCCAGGTGACCAACGCTCATTAATTCAGGTTTAAACTTGAAGAATTGACTTTCTAAATTATACTTTTATATGGAATGGTGTCACATGATGGGAATTATAAATCTAGATAGCTTATTTATAGACTAATGTTTATTTGTGAATACTTGTGCAAAGTCTGTATCCCCTTGGCACATTTATTCATATAATTTTTAAAGCTGTAAATGATCTTAGAAGTGATTTTATCCAACTCGCTTCATTTTAGAGTTGAGCAAACTGAGACACAGGAATAAAGTGGCTTTCCTAAGATCACTTGCCTTGTAGCTGGCAGAGCCCAGGCCTCTGGCGTAAGTTCTTTCCCCACTGTCCTGCTGCCTCTCCCTCAGGAACTTCTAAATGGGGGGCTGCAGATCCTAATCCCTCTCTACCAAGAAACCAGACGTCTGATATCAGCAGCAACTGGGGAAAGTTCTTCTGAAGAATTAACTCTGAAACAAGCCACTCGCCCAGCTCTGGGCACCTGTGTTGATCTGGCCTCCGAAGGCAGTCGGCAACATCTCTTACATGTTAAATCTATTTACAAAGAACCATGTCATCACAAACTCTCTGCAGATCCAAGTTGGGGAGGGGGTTCTATCCATTTTCTTGCTGCCTCCAGACCTGCCTGACTCGCACTAACTACAAGATGTTCAAGCTAACCACACCCAAAGTTGTGTTAAAACCCAGCCATCCGCTGGATGAGAGGCTAACACCTGTCACAGCTCCCTCACCAGCAGTGTTTACTCGGGGCCACTTTTCAGTCACCTCAGAACAAGAATCGTACACCGCACTCACCAAGTCATGTGCGTGGTCAGTGCTTCCTGTTCCAACTTGGTGCATTTGCTGGGTGGTTGGGCTTCATATGTAGTTGTGTATTTTTTAAAAAGAGATAGTGGGAATGAAATGAGTGAAATCTTTTCTCCATTATATAAGTCCAAAAGCAAAACCATAGGATTTCTGAGTCATCTCCAGGAAAATTGAAATTCAAGAATATTGCAGCCTTTGAGTTCCTTAGAATGAGGCATCAGCCACGCTGTGACTCTGTGAAAATACCTAAGTCTCTTTTCAAAATGTCTCCCAATTCAGAGCGCTAAGAATACTGGCTATTTCTTCCTTTGTTGACATAAATACTGACCCAACTTTTATGGTCTTCTTTTCTTTTTTAAAAAAAATTTAGATCTTTTGATGAGACAGAATCTGAAGAGTCAAGGTAAGAACAAACACCAGTCAGTCAGGAGTTATACAAACCAAGAATAAGCTTTTGTTAAACATTTAATTACCATCATCTAATTGTTTCAAGTCAAGGTTTTCTTGAAAACCTTTGCTAGAAAATTGATTTTAAGATGATAAATATTTGATGGGAAGTTACAGAAGTAACCATTCTATTTAAGGCTAGAGGAATAAAGTCCTACATTATTTCATACAAGTAATAAGAATACATTTCATCAATAATCGTACTACAAGATTTTTAAAAAAATCACTTTGCAGCAGTGATTTATGGTATAGATTGTATATCTGCTTCAAATTCCACAAATACATGTTTGGAAGCTGAGCACACTTCTGGTTTGTTCCTCCAGCTCTGCTTGCTATTATTCACCCGCACCGTTAGATACATAAACCTTGAGGTGTCCCCGCACAGCAGTTTGATCCCCTCAAAGCTAGTTTGTAGTGTTTTCTGTTTACCATCGTCCCCTGATGCTGACATGCCTGTTCTTGACCTTTCCAGCAAACTGTCCCACCAGCCGGTGCTGCTGTTCCTCAGGGATCCATACGTCTTGCCTGCAGCCAGCGGTAATCAAACCTGTCATCTGCTAACAGCTCTTTACTGATCTGACCCTACACCACATAAACCACGTTTTTAATACAGGTCTAACAGAGTGACATTGGCCAGGGCTTAATAATCTGCCAATAAACCAGTGCTCTTGGTGTAAGAGACATTCAGAATTTTAATTGGGGCAGGCCTTTCAGGAGGAAATGTAATTTTTTTTCTCTCTTGCCAGGCTGTTTTGAATTAAAGTAATAAGAGGGAAAGGTATTTATTGTCCTTAATTTGGGGGGTGGTGTTATTTTGGCTTCTGCTGGTTTTTATCTAGGGCTTGAATCCAAGGTTCCGGTCCTTTTTTAAAATGCTTCTTTCCAAAAGCTGTGTATATACATTGCATGTGTATCTCCATTTCCATTTAGATTACAGCATCTTTGACAGTCAGATACACATTTTTAAAGTTGTATCTTTAAGTATAATGAATTAATTTAAGCGTAAATGTAATTTACGCCCGAGTCCTTTCTTTGTGCCAAGAAATTTAAATTATTCAGAGTCCCTCTCAAACTATTCTGATATGCAGCTCTTCATGAGTACATTCTCAGACATTAGCTCATTTAACTTCCTTAACAACCTTATGAAATAGGCAGGGCAGGTATCATCATTCACTCCTGAGCAAACTGGGGCTCAGGGAGGTCCCTGATTTGCCCAGTCTCACAGGTCTGGTGGGTGGATCCCTTTTTGCCTAATCTCTCCTTCTGTGCTCTTTGCATATAGTGAATTTTCAGCCTTTGTTTCTGAGAGTAACTAAATAGCATAGCAACTAAATAGCAATAGATAAATTATCTATGGACACCATTCCTACATTCTGACAATAAAACCTTATCACCAGCAAGAGAGAGGGAACTGTTCTCTGGCAGGGATGCTTGTGTGCTCAGATCACACACTTAGCTATCAATTTAAAGAAGGCCGACTAGGACACAGCCCTGCTCTGTTGAGGGACCATTCTAGAAGAAAGCTGCCTTTGCTATACAACCACACACGAATATGGTCTCGTAGTATTTTCGCTATAAAATCCCTTCAGTGAGGAATAATCCCCTTTCTTTAACATTTGCTTCCCATGTGTAAGAAATATGCCTGGTGTGTTAGTTGATATTATGTTAACAAGATGTTACATTTAACAAATATTCATGATGTAACCTAGTCTAGATTAAGTGGGCAGTGATTTTTTTTCCTCAACCAAATGAACTTCCTTTTTTTTTTTTATACAGCAGTTTCTTATTAGTCATCAGTTTTATACACATCAGTGTATACTTGTCAATCCCAATCTCCCAGTTTCATCACACCACCACCTCCACCCACCGCCACTTTCCCCCCTTGGTGTCCATACGTTTGTTCTCTGCATCTGTGTCTCAATTTCTGCTCTGCAAACCGGTTCATCCGTACCATTTTTCTAGGTTCCACATATATGCGTTAATATATGATACTTGTTTTTCTCTTTCTGACTTACTTCACTCTGTATGGGGCAGTGTTTTATGAAGTATTCTTACTAGCTTTTAAAAATGGTTCCACAAGTACTTTCTCCAGGTATTGTTTCTTCTCAGATATTTTAAGCATTTGACTGAAATTCCTATAAAAGTGTAGAGAGTAGAACGATCACTGTGGACTGGAGTAGCCGGGATGCTTTCTGGAAGAGGGCAGATATTTCATGATCCTTAAATCCAATTCATCCAGCTTCTTAAGCAGCATGTGCTGTGCACTTGGCTTGACCACGAAGAACAGGAGGAACTTTCTGGGAAAGAGCCTCAGGGGCGAATGTCTGGAGTTAGAAAGAATAAGAGGTATGGCTCATTGGTAGAATATTGACATAGTTGAACAACTTGCACAGAAAGGGGATTCCTCCTTGAGAGTAAATGTCAATCATGAGTTTGACGTAAAGGACGGAACGAAGTATGAGAGAGCCAGCCACTACATCTCCTTTTGTGGAACTTTGGCTGAGCCCATGTCATAAATCAAATTCCTATTGTCTTAGAAGTGTTATACTAGTGATATATTATTGCAACTCTTTAGCATTTAATTTAAAGATAAATTTTACTTGCATCACATGTTCATGTTCTAAGGCCTCTTAACAAAATGTTGAGCTTTCTGTTCCAGCTACAGAATCTGGAAGTACCTTCACAGATACACTGACACCCATAAAAGTCAGAGGAGTGTCTGTCTTTAAAATTCTGACAGTTAAACACTATCCTCATGTAAAATGTGAAAAATAAAACATTATTCTCTTAGCATATGCTTTTTGGCCTTCATTTTGAGTTTTCTGGGGAATTCAAAATAACTTTGGCTCAGGTCCCCAGCGACTGCAGTGTGGCTAAACTCCGTGGACTTCCCTCAGTCCTCCTCCTTGACCTCTCATTAACTTTAGCCACTGGTGACCACTTTTCCCTCTTTCAAACACCATCTCCCTTTGGCTTTCCCACCTCCCTGCTTTTCTTTCAGGCTCTGGCAGCTCTCCTGAAGGCTGTCCTAGACCCTCTGCTCTTCTCATTTTACTTTCTTTGGAACAATCTCCTTGCTGTGGCCTTGATGGCCTTGAGTATACAGCTGAGTCACAGTACTATTTCTCCATCCCAACCCTCTCTGTGAACCCCAGACTCTCACCGTGGTTGACAAGGCCCCCCGTGGGCTGGCCCTGGCCCACGTGTCTGCCGGGACCCCCTCACACACTCTGGTCCAGCCACACTGCAGTTCTTTCTGGGCCTAAGATGCGCTGAACTGTTTTCCTGCAGGGCACTTGCTGTTTCCTCCTCCTGGAACCCTCTTGTCCTCACACATTGTTGGCCCTCTCCTCTTTCAGGTGCAGCTTCAGGGAGCCTTTGCTGGCTCTCCTTTCAAGTAGCCTCCAAGAGCCCCTCCACCCCCTTACTTTTTTTTTTTTAAGCTTCACAATAAATGTTTATAAAAATAAATGAAAACCAACAAAACCTTTCCCAAATCACATTCCTTCTCATCACCTCTCAAAGGGAAGCAAAGGCAAGGGCAGTTTTTTGAGTAATTTAAGCAGTGATGGTCATTGTATCAAATGATACATGGAGTGAAGCCAAAATCCAGTTTAGAGTGGAGTAAACTGTAACAGATGAGAAAAAAAAAGAAGACCTCTGATTATCTCATCAGTTACTAGTTGGTGGACCTCATTATAAAATATCTCTATTGCATTCACTTTTATCAGAGCGCCCTATTTGCCTCCTTTAGAACAATGATCACAAATTGTGTTGCCTTCTCTCCCTCTCTCCTTCTGTCACCTTCACGCTCTAAATCTCCAGCATCTAGCATATGCTTAGCGCTTGCTGGACGGTGAGCACAGGGCCTGGGCATGCTCTGTTCCCTCTGTGGGATTGCTCTTCATCCAGACACCCTCACAGCTGGCTGTTACACCACTTCACTCAAATGGCATCTTTGCACAAAGGTCCTTCTTAACCTTCCCGTCCCCTATCACTCTCTGGCCCCGTGCCCTGCTTTATTTTTTCTCCTTGCCTTTAAACCACTGCTGTAGAATTACCCAAAGTATTTCATGTTATTTTCCTTTTTGTCCTTTTTGCTGAACTTACTGATTTGGATCAAAATGTTTATACTAAATAAGCTTATGATATCACTAACCTTAAGCAGACTCTTATACTTTGAGTGGTAAAGGATAAATGCATATATGCTGATGCATGTAATATGTCTAATGTGGGCATTTTATTGAAAATTAATCAACAGCTTCATTTATGGCTATTGGTATCAATACACGTCTGCGTGTGAGAAATGTGTTTGGAATTAAAATTAACTTAGCTGAGTCATTGCTTTTGATCAGTATCTAAGTATGTAGGTATAAGTCCACTGCAAACTTTTAAAGATATGTTTTATTAAAAGTTATGTGACTTCATGTTGGGTAAAAGCAAACATTAAGAAATCAAGTGAGTGTCATCAAACAAAAGTAATTGAGTACTTGCGTATTGGAGATATTTTAAAAACACATTTTATTTGTTTATTCACTTGTCTCCCTGACTAGCATGTAAGTTCCGTGGCAGGCACTGTTACTTACTTATATTCCCCGTAATTAGGCAATGCTTGGTATGTGATAATAGCTGGTACTTACCATGTGCCAAGTTCAGGTCCAAGCACTTTGTTTCATTCATCAATTTTTACAACAGCCTGTTAAGTAGGTACTGTTATGAAATCCCTCCCTAGTACCATCAAATCCATCACCACTCTGAACTTGCTCCAGTCGCTCTTTGAATGGCAGCCACAGTCGTCTTTTCAAAACAATTCATTGCTGTCTCACTCTGCTTGAAATCCCTCAGTAGCTTCTCATTGCTTTTCAGATAAAGCCAGAATTCCTGTCCATTCTTACCAGGCTTGAATTGCCCCCCTGCCCTTACAGCCACTCCACTTGCTACCCTAGCCTCAGGCTCCTGCCTGCCACAGACTTTCCACCTGGTCAGCGCCCTCTCCTGAGCCCTCTCCTCCAAGAGCCTGATGAGGTCCAATCGCCCTGTAAGTGGTTTTATGTAGTAGGTACTCTGTAGAGGTTGAATTAATCAGTGAACATATTATTTGGAAGCTCAAAGTATTGGGCCACTTAATTTCCTTATATAATAACTATATCTATTTAAATCCTAGATATAATTATGTGCAGACTAAAGTTTATAAATGAAAATTCTGAACCGTGTGATAGATTGGTTCTCCTGTTCAAGTTATCTGTTCATATTTTACCTGCTGTGATGACTAAACCGAGATACAACATAACATACACCTCTGAATTTCCTTTGCATTTCCTATAAAAATGTAGCTGATTTTTCAAGTTTGACAAGTGTGGCTTTTGTCAGGAATCTGCCCTTTTACGTTAGGAAGGCAGGCCCCTGTCCTCCTGCTCTCTAGAAGCTAGTATAATAGAACAAGCATACTCAAGACAACTTGGATTAAACGCCACTGTAAACCACAGCGGAAAAACTGCAGCAAAGTATTCCCAGTAGAAATCTTGGAATTCCTTCAAGTATATTGAGATTTTGTTAGAAATTGAATTGCCAGTGTAATCCATCTTCCTTGGGAGAAAACATTCAGATAAAGAGCTGGGGCCTAGCAGCATCAACCATTAGAACATCCATCCCTTAAATCAATAAGCTACAAATCTGGCCGTGCATTCCTGCAGCGCCTGGTGGTACACTCAAGTGGCTCTAGGCCGAAGCAGCATGACTGATGGCACATCCGAAACAAGGGTAAACTGTATGGTGATGCAGCTCCCTGAGTTGTGCCTAGGCCTTACCTTGTTTCGTTCTACGAGATGCACGTATGTTTTATTGATGTACATAAGAAAAGCAGTTTTACTTTTGTTTTTCAGATTTTCCAAATGTGGTTATTGAAGGAGTTCTCCATGGGATATTTTACCCTCACCTACAGCCCAGGTAGAAATCCTCCATGGCTAGAAGAAGCTGAAGCAAGTTTCGAAGTCGTAGTCAAGGAAATCGATACCTACCAAATTAACCTAAACTCTATGACATAATGGCTCTCGCTAGTGGTAAAATTCACAGCAGCAGCTTAATTCAGAGCAGGGACATTTCCATTAGAATGGTGCTTTTAAAAATAGAAACTGAACCAGGGCGGTGCTGAGGTTAAGGCCAAGTGTTTAAGAAGTAGAATGTAGCTGCCAATTTAGAAACCCAGGGAAAGAAAAGCTAAAGAAGATCCTTGGGAGCTCCGAGTGTAGCAAAACAGTTACTCTCTGCTTCAGTCACACCATTTGCTAATTGAAAATCTTATCCCGAATCATAGTGAGACTGATCAACTTTGGTAGCTTTTTTGTTCAGATTTTATGACACACTAATCTTTTCATCATGAGATTTTTCTCAGCCAGTGATGGATAACATTCTGAAGTGCTGGCACCAGGAGAGCATCACAGAAACACACTGTGCTAAATGTGAGGAAGGAACTAAACTGGAAATGAAATTATACTGACAATATTAGGGCATTTTTTAAATCATGGCATTTTAATTTACATTACAGTGGAGCTGCATCATATCCAGGGGTTAGCTTCTAATGTCGGCACATCAGATAAAATGGGGTCTCAAGATTATCCTTGAAAGCCCTTTAGAATGGTGCCATATTGGAAATCTCCATCCACGACAGCCAGTTTTTCCTCCAGTGTTGGAAGAGGTAACTGTCTCTTCCGTTGAAGAACAATGGAAGTTGGTGTTTAGGGGCTATTTTGTAGAAAAAAACACATAACTTTAAACACTAGAATGATACTTAGCCTTGCAAGATGCTTGCCCTCTAAGAGACAAATATGAACTTACAGTGACTGAGGGAACGCCAGACTGACAACACTCATCTTGGTTTACTTGAGGGCATCCATTCATTGAATAGGTGGTATAATTGCCAGATTGATTGTTATTTTCCTTATTCCTTATCATTTCCTTTTCACTGATCTCATGTACTGAATTAAATGTGTTTATGATATAACTCCACTCTACATCTTACGGACATTCAGATTTTGAGTAGTAAAGGATAAAAGCATATATGCAGCCTGTATATATGTGCCATATTTGGACATTTCCTTGAAAACCAGTTAATAGCTAGCCTATTTATGGTTATTAGTTAATAAGCTTCTGTGTGGGAGAAAAATATTTAGATATAAAACTAATAATTAAATCATGGTTTTTGATTAGGATATAAATATACAGGTTTAAAGCTTGCTGCAGACTCTTAGAGATTTATTTATGATATATGTGTTACTACATGCTGGAAATAAGCAAGAACTAAATAATCAAGTGTCATCAACCAAAAATGACTGAAAGTCAAGTGTTGGAGATATTTTTTAAATGTTTTTGTTATTAGCTATTTTTGAGTTAAATAAAAATGAAGAACAAGAAGTGTTTGGATATGTCTTCTACTGCCAGGATTTTATTGGAAACATAAATTGTGTCTTGTCTCTTTATACGCACACACACACACACACACACACACAAACAAACCTTCTCACATATTCATATAGACATTTATTTCTAATCTGACAAGGTAACTGTTAAATTACCTCATCTATTAAGCCAATAGGTACTCATTAAGTAGTTGATTTACCAAGATAGTGAGGGTTTTTAAAAAAAATAAAGCCCAAGAATCTTTGGTAGCACACTACTCAAGAACTTTGGTGGCACTACTACTCTTTTTTGAGAATTAAATTTTTTTTTTTAGTGATGACTTTCATTTCTAATTTTTATTTAAATGTTTAATATTCCATTTCAATTCCATTGCAGGAAATAGAAACCACAATAGGTATTTTAAGCAGAATGGAATAATAAGAAGCAGTGCTTACCGAATCTTTTGGAAGGATGAGGGGAATGAACTCCTGGTGGGTCTCTAGGCACAACTTCCAGAATGCTCCAGCAATTTCCAATACCTGCCTGCCAGGGGAGCTACAGCCTCTGTCTTTATCAGGAATTCAGGGAGCTGGGAGGCTGCTACTGAAGGTATTGAAGTCAAAACCAGCACATATAGCTTCGATCCAGGGATCAGCATGTAGGATCAGGAGGTAACTTACTACCATAACTACCTCATGGCAGCACCCAGGAAGCTGGTGACTGGGCACTAGAACAAAGTGTTCAGCTGTCACCACCTATACCACAGTTGCCTCTCAACGCCCATGACTTTGCTTGTCAGCAACCGCAGCCTAAAGCAGCAGGAAGATGGCATTCACCCACTTCCATCTTTTACAGCTCCTGAAAGCACATGCAATTGGCAGAACCTTATTCTTGATCCCCAGCTTCAAGGGAGTCTGGGAAGGAGTTGGAACTTTCTGGTCTCAGCACCTCAGAAATGCACATTGGAAAGAGGATGGAATATATTTCCACAGTCAAAATTTTAATAAAAACATATGAAAGGATATATAAAAAGAAAAGTCCTCTCCCATCCTGTCTCCTAGATTCCCAGTTCCCCTCCCAGAGACAACCACTGTTCTTGGTTTACATGTATACTTCCAGAGATATTTCATCCACATGCAAGCAAATAATGTATATTTAGTGTACATATATTCCATTTCCCCTTTTTTATGAAACATGGATATTTCAAAGCATGGATTCATAGCCAATAAAGAAGTAAAGAGTAGAGGGAAGAAAACAGAATAAAGAAGAGGAAAAGAAATCCTCATACCACTTAAGCCAGGATGTGGGGACAGCCCTCACACTCCCTTATCCCCCAGTTCTTGGATTTGATGGTTTGCCTGGGGCTGATCTCAGAATGTCCCCCAGTTGCTGTTGTATGCAGAGTCTTTCTCAGGCCTAACCTCCATCACCTGGCAAATTTGCATATGGCAGCCCTGGTGTCCTTTCTCCTGGTGTCCTCCTCCTCTCCCCCATTTCAAACAGCGGGCCATGTATACAAATGGCATCAGTAACACTGTGACTATCCCCACATGGTAAATTCTTCAGTCATTTCACTTTGAAAAGTATAGAAATCTCACAATCACAGTTTAGGAATAACAAATGGCTTTCATCTCATTTGTCAACTCTGATCAATTGATAATGGCTCATAAAGCACTCAGGTAAGGATTCTGACACACCGATTTGAGTGGATACTATCCAAAGAAAGCAGAAAATAACAAGTGTTGACAAGGATGTGAAGACTTTGAAACCTTTATACATTGCTGGTAGGAAGTAAAATAGTGCAGCCTCTGTGGAAAATGGTATGGCAGTTCTTAAAAAAATTAAACATAAAATTACCACATGATTTAGCAATTCCACTTCTGGATATATACCCAAAAGAAGTGAAAGCAGGGACTTGAGCAGTTATTTCTACACCCAAGTTTTTGACAGCATTGTTCACAACCAAAAGGTGGAAGCAACCCAAGTGTCCACTGATGGATGAATGGATAAAATGTGGTCTATACATACAGTGGATTATTCAGCCTTAAAAAGAAAGGAAATTCTGACACCTGCTACAACATGGATAAATCTTGAAGACATTATGCCAAGTGAAATAAGCCAGTCACAAAAGGATGACTACTGTATGATTCCACTTATTTGAGGTACCTAAAATAGTCAAACTCATGGAAACAGAGTGGTGGTTGCCAGGGGCTTGGGGGAGGGGAAAATGGGGAATTAGCATTCAGTGGGTTTCAGCTGGGGAAGATGAGAAAGTTCTGAAGATGGATGGTGATGGTTGCACAACAGTGTGAGTGTACTTAATGCTTCTGAACTATACAGGTAAAAAATGGTAAATTTTATGTCGTGTAATTTTACTACAATTTTTTTAAAAGCTTTTTTAAGAAAAGGATTTTGAGTGAATACAGGCTCAGTGAGTAAGAGTATAGCAACCAATTAGTGATATTTGTCTAGGATGCAGGAGGAGTTTGGGCAGACATACCAGGTGCTATTCTTGTATCCCTGACAACCTCTGAGATTCTAAACCAATAGTTCCAAACTAGAGATGTGCATCAGAATCACCTAAAACTCTGAATCAATAAATCTGGGCTGGGGTCTGTCCTTGGGTACTTAGAGAAACTTCTCAGTTGATTCTGATACACACATAGGTTAGGAACCACTGTTTGAGGAATGTGAGAGATGGTTTATGAACTCCCCTTCTTTGGTGATTATTGGCTTTCCTACCTCCTGCAGAATCTACTATGAAAAGAATGGCAGTTCAACTCTCAGAGAGTTGCATGTGGCCATGGGGAGAAGGGACTTGTCTTAGTCCATTCTGGCTGCTCTAACAAAAATACCATAGACTGGGTGGCTTATAAACAACAAACATTTATTTCTCACAGTTCTGGAGTCTGGAAATTGCAAGATCAGGGCACTGGCACATTTGGTGTCTGGTAAGGGGCTCTCTTTTTCACTGTGTCCTCACATGGTGGGAAAGGCACCAGGGATCTCTATGGGGCCTCTGTCATAAGGGCACTAATCCCTAATCACCTCCCAAAGGCCCCACCCCCAAACATCATCACATAGGAGATTAGTTTTCACCATATGAATTAGGAGGGGGTGGGGGGAGCAGACACAAACAGTCTATAGCAGGACTCTTTGAAGAAGCAGCAAGGATGATAGACAAGTTTGGGTAGTGGTTTCAATAGACACCCTATGTGAATATATATTCATTTACTCATCCACTCATTCAGTGAAATGCATTTGAGATTTCTTGCTGCACTAAGGTATGGTGTTAGTTATCTAAAAATAGAGGGCTTCCTTGGTTGTGCAGTGGTTAAGAATCTGCCTGCCAATGCAGGGGACACGGGTTCAAGCCCTGGTCTGGGAAGATCCCACATGCCGCAGAGCAACTAAGGCCGTGCGCCACAACTACTGAGCCTGTGCTCTAGAGCCTGCGAGCCACAACTACTGAAGCCCGCGTGCCACAGCTACTGAAGCCTGTGCACCTAGAGCCCATGCTCTGCAACAAGAGAAGCCACAGCAATGAGAAGCCCTCACACTGCAACAAAGAGTAGCCCCCACTTGCCGCAACTAGAGAAAGCCCATGCGCAGCAACGAAGACCCCATGCAACCAAAAATAATAAATAAATTTATTTTTTTTAAATAAAGAATAGAGACAAAGTCCTTGTTTTCTGGAATTTTTGGCCATTTACTAGGGAATGTCTTTCCATTTAACTGAATTGGATGTAGAGTTCAGTGATTAGGACTATCTTCTCCAGTCTCTACTCAGCTTCAAAGCAATCACTTTCATCTTGGCTTTGTTTTGGTTTTCATCCTTGATGATAATTATAGATTTTGAATTCAGCAGCAGAAACCCAGGGAAGTAGCAGACACTAACTCAAAGCAGAAAATTCTGCAACATTTATGTTTTCTGTCCATACAGATGCAGAGTGACGGTCTGGATTGGTGATGAGGGTGAAGAGGTATTTATTTTTGTGTGAAGGGGAGGAGGGTACATTGAAATGTTAAGCCTTTGGAGTACATGTAATTGACTGTAGAAAATTTTGTTTTATATTCTCAGAGTATAATTGTAAATCTGACCCATACAATGTGAAACACTTTCTGCCGCCTTCTACTCTAACATCAGCCATGGTGCCATCAACAGTGTCTCCAGCCCTGGTATTCTCTTCACTTAGATGCTGTTACGTAGTGAGCTCCTCTGGGCGCCACATGTTGTGAGACTAAGGCCATTATAACTGGACAAAGTTTTTACAAACCTTTATAGAAGAAGAAAGCAAAGATCGGAGTGACTAATAAGTAGCTAACATGATAAAGCACTAATTTGGGCTAAGTTCTATCCACAGATTATCCCATTGAAGCCTCACAACATCTTTCTGAGGTATGTATTCTTATTTTTTCCACTCTACAGTGAAAAAAATGAAAGTAGAAAGGCAAGATAGCTTGACTAAGGCCACCAGTTAATAAGGGGCATCAAGATTTGCACTGTTGATCCACACAGTTCAGGCTAAGCTAATCCACACCCCACCCCGCCCCCGTCAGCCTCACGTTAGAACTGTTTGTATTTATGTGCATTTTTGAACAACACATGAATACTCAGGTCGGAAAGAACTAGTATTGGGGCAGTTGCTCATCTTTCTACACTACATTATAAATCAGAATGCTGTCCCATCTCCCTTGATTAAACCAAGCTCTGTGCTCTCAGCTGCAGCCTACTCCCAGGTCTCTCTGCTTCCACTTTTACTCTAGTCCATCCTCCACATGAGAGCCAGAGCCATCTTTTTAACATGTCCGTCAAATCATGTCACTGTTGCTCAAAATTACCCAGTAGCTTCCATCCCCACTTAAAATCGAAACTCCTGCCACCCTCTCCCAAGTTCCTCGCCCTCCTCTTCCTGGTATTTATCTCACTGGCGACATTGGTCTTTCTCTTCCCAGGACTTGCCAACCTTGGTTCTCATTTAAGCCCTTTGAACCTGCTGGTCTCTGCCT